CCCCAAAACCCCAAAACCCCAAAACCCCGCAAGATTGAATTAATATACGTTAGCAGCTTAAATATTAAATTTGAGAAATATTAAGAAAGATGAGTATGAGTTCTTCAAAAGTTTGTCTAACTCTTAAAGATGCAACTAGAAGATATGCTAATATTTCAAATTCCCAAAAGCATCAAAGGTAAATCTCATCTGCGCAGACTTAAAATGCAAAACTAAACGTTGTATCTAAAGGAAGCGCTGCCCAATAGAAAAAGGAAAATGTTTAAATGGAATAAAATAATAACTCTAATGATTAAAGCATGATTTCTTAGCAAAATAACTCTAAACTCAATATATAAAACTCAAACAAAAGCAGCAGTAAAATGGACACTAGCATAAATCTAAACATTAATGGTGGGGGAACTTCCTCCAATAAAACTAGTGCCCCAAGTACCTGCATCAAAATCCCATAAAATAAGCACAGCTAATATAGATATAGCGGAAGCCCAGATAATTAAAATGAATTTGATGACAGCGAAGACCATCATGAAGAAAAGCTACAGAAGCAGCCTCAATATAATTCGCACTTAAATGATTCTTAAAACGAATCATTCCCTATTAACGAGAATAACTCAAGAAATGGATAGCTAAACACTAATCCCTCAATCTAGAACAATGAGGCAGATGATTCTGCTTCTTATGATTTGCGGCCCACGCAATTTCAATAGTTTAGGATTTCTGAGCTTGAAGATTCTCAATACGAGTATGAAGAGTAGTAGATGGTGCAGCAATAAATGGTAAAATAGCATCCACAGTTTTTTAGAAAAGATCTTCAATAGTTTTACGTTCAAAATGTCATTGAAGAGAAATCTGAGACTAGTTCATATCAAACTGAAACTTACAACTAACTTGAAAAGTAAATGGATAATTTTTATGATGAAGATGATTAAGAAGCTGAAGAGGAATATGAAAATTTAGGGAACGACGATTAGCAGGAACTTGAGGAAGCTCAAGAGCTAATAGAAGATGAAGAATATGATTAGGAAAGCTAAGAATTAGTTAGCGATTTTTAAAAGCAAAGTGCAAGTTCTTCACTTAAAAAGAAAAATGTGAAGAATTAGCACTTTCAATATATAATGAAAAACTTTGACAATGAGAATCTTAGCAGATAGCATAATACAGGTTACACAGACGAACAAGAAGCCTTTCTATTTGACTCCTTAAATTCTTTCTATCCAAAAGGAGTTACTTAAGTAAAAAAAGAGCAAAATAATCAGCAACTCATGCCAGAGATCTAATTGATTAAGCATCAAAGTCAGACAAATCGTACTTAAAATAAAAATGGCACCGATGCTAATACATACAAAAGCACAGCAAATAGTAAATCGAAAAATCAACTTTAATAACAATAATAAGAGGTTGCAGGCAGCGGACTTGCTTCTTAAATGCAAATAACATTGCAATAAGTAGTTGCTAATTTTGCTTAGGAAAAGCAAATGACTTTATAACTAAATGAGTATAGCAAAGAAAATGCGAAATTGAAAGAGGAGAATAATAATCTTAAAGGATTAATAGAAGATAAGGATCATGAACTTGATGAGTTGAGAATTCAAATCAAAGAACTTGAGATAAGATTGTGCCACTCAGAGGGATAATTGAAAAGGGAGAGATAAGACAAGGAAAACAATGCTCTAGCATTCAAAAGAATCTTGGCGAATTTGACTTCAAGCTCAAAAGATAATGCCACTACTACTCTCTCCAGTATAAATGGTATTCCAACTTCCCAGAAAAAAATGAATGCAAGAAAGCTTTCAACTTAGTTTGAAATTCATAGCAGCATTGGCAACTAGTCCTAATTCAAATTTCTAATGGGTGACACTAACTTTGGAACGACTGGCACCATTACTGGAGGCATGATTTCTAAGACCCTCGAGAATGAAAACACACTTGGAGCTGAATTTAACACTCTAGACTAGATTTCAAAATTAAAGAATCAGCTAACAAATAAAGAAGAGGAACTCTAAAATCTTAGAAAGTAACACAGAAGAGCTGGAAATCAAAGTGTCTGGTGGTTCAACAATAGAGGATAGCATAACTCTAAAAATTACTTCAACCAATCAGGCTCAGCTGGCTACTCTCCACTACCGACTTAACCCTCAGTGCCATCTAATTATCATAACCCATTGATTGAAACTAATGTGAGGGGATCTTCTAAGAAACCTCAAAAAGCTTATCAACAGCAATACTAGATGCTTTCTCCCATGTAAGGATCCCCAATACTTAGTAACAATGGAAGTGTAAGCAGCTGGGTTAATAAAAATAGCTAAATCTAAGCTTCTCAAATCGGACAGTTCGTTCTGTTGAGAGATGACAAACATTCTCTGACTGAAGTTCCTCCTGAGAATTCATTTGACATTCTCAAAAATGATAAGAGCTAAAGTTTAATTAGGGATATATTTTTGGATAAATAGGATTACACTTAGAGGACTGTTCCTCAGCCAGTTAAAAGAGACAACTAATATGAAATTTAATTTGACAACTTAGATGAAGATTTGTAGAATAATGATGATGACTTTGATGATGAGCAAAATGCAGATGACCTAGGATAGGTCTGTAAAAATGAAGAGAAGAAGTTAGATATGATGATAAGTGGAGGAGACTATTCTCCGAACAGTCATACTTTCTTTAAATAGCCATTTAACAAAGATCAAAAGGTTATTGAGACTCTCTAATATGGTAATAAACTATAAGTCAACCCAGATTAAATAAGAGATCAAAAGCTAGTTGTGTTGAATAAATGTCCTAAACAGTAGAATAGCAAGCATCATAGATAAAACAGTACTTAGGTGAGTGCTGTTTCAAATTCACGCCGAATAGACACTTCACAAGATTTTAAATCTCAAGGTAACAACTACAGTTCTATTCTGTCAATAAAGACTAAAGTTCCCGATTAAAAGCATTAGCAGTAGAGTTAGCATCAGCAATAGCCGAATCTATCTCCGCTACAAGTATTTTAAAAACAAGTCTAAACTAGGCAATAATCAAGGAAATAATCTCCCTTAGGCAGCTTAGTCCGTTAAAAGGATCAACTTAATCATCATTCTACTTTAGATAACTCTGATTTGATGACTCAATAATAAATATAAAACTTAAGAGGGTCATCACCTCATGAAGATAGAACTTCAACTGGTCTAGGTCCTCATAATACTCTAGGCACTACGATTGTGACAACAACAAATGCAACTAATACTTCCAATATATCTCCCTTTAAGTAGGGAAAGAGACTTATTCCTGATTCGTTAGTCAAGATGCCTCTCAGACAGCAAAATAACAACAAAAAGAGTAAAGAAGAAGTTGAAAAATCTATGAACATCAGCAAATATCAAAGTATCAAGCGTTGAAAGCATTGTCTATTATTGCTATAAGTCTGCTTAATCAATAAACATAAGCAAATTTTTATAGAACCTAATATAAATATATGCATCTTCAGTAATGATTTTAATTATGCTAATAATTGCTCTACAATTCTTTAAGGGGTTTTGGGGTTTTGGGGTTTTGGGGTTTTGGGG